CAGAAGGGTATATATACCGTCCACTCTAGGGGTGCACCTTGATGGCCCAGCTGGGGTGATCAGGGAAGCTGTGCCACTGGACCCTACAGGACACCTACAACAATAGGCCACCCTACGAAGCCTAGGAGACAGAGCAACTCTAATACATAGAAACAAACTAGGAAGCAGCAAAAATGAGGAGACAGAGAAACATGTCTCAAATGAAAGAACAGAACACAATTCCAGGAAAAGAACTAAACAGAATGGAGATATGCAATCAATCAGATGCAGAATTCAAAACACTGGTTATAAGGATGCTCAAGGAACTTAGTGAGAACATCAACAACATGAAAAAGGGCCAGTCAGAAATGAAGGATGCACTAACTTAAAATAAAGACTAATTTACAGGGAATCAGTAGTAGAGTAGGTGAAGCCAAGAAGCAAACTATCAATTTGGAATATAAGGAGCAAAAAACACCCAATCAGAACAGCAAAAAGAAAAAAGAATATAGAAAATGAGGACAGTGTAAGGAGCCACTGGGACAACTTCAGGCATGCCAATAGTTGCATCATAGGGGTGCCAGAAGGAGAAGAGAGAGCAAGAAATTGAAAACCTATTTGAAAAAATAATGATAGAACACTTCCTTAACTTGGTGAAGGAAACAGACATACAAGTCCAGGAAGCACAGAGAGTCCCAAAGAAGATGAACTTACGGAGGACCACACCAAGACACACCATCATCAAAATGCCAAAGGTTAAAGTCAAAGAGAGAATCTTTTTTTTTTATATCTTCACCCCAGGACATTTTTCCATTTTTTGTTCAGATAGAGTAGGAAGGAGAGAGAGGAAGAGGGAGAGAGAGAAACATTGACGTGAAAGGGACACATCGAGTGGCTGCCACCCACACAACCCAACCAGGGCTAGGGACAAACTGCAACCGAGGATGTGCCCCTAGCGGGAACCGAACCCAGGTCTCTCTGGAATGCAGGCTGATGCTCTAACTGCTGAGCCAAACTGGCCAGGCCCAAAGAGAGAATCTTAAAAGCAGCAAGAGAAAAGCAGTTAATTACCTACAAAGGAGCTCCCCATAAGACTGTCAGCCGATTTCTCTAAAGAAACTGCAGGCCAGAAGGGAGTGGCAAAAAATATTTAAAGTGATGAAAAACAAGGGCCTACAACCAAAATTACGCTATCCTGCAATGCTCTCATTTAGAATTGATGGCCATATAGTTTCCCAGACAAGAAAAAGCTAAAGGAGTTCATCACCACCAAACCAGTATTATATGAAATATTGAAGGGTCTTTTTGAAGGAGAACAACAAAAATATGAACAATAAAATGGCGATAGATACATATCTATCGACAGTTCAATCTACAAACAAAATGAGCTAGCAGAACAGAAACAGACTCAGATACAGAGAACTTGTTGTTGCTTGCCAAATGGGAGGGGGTTGGGGCTGGGGGAAAAAGCTGAAGAAATTAAGAAGTACAAATTGGTTGTTAGACTGATGAACCTCAAAGGGAAGTGGGGAGGGAGGGCCGGAAGAGATAAACCAAAGAACTATGCATATATGCATAACCAATGGACACAAACAATAGTGTGGGATAGCAGGAGGGGAGTAGAACTGGGGAGAAGGGGGTGAATGGGGAAAAAAGAGGGGCATCCTTAATACTTTCAACAATAAAGATAAGAAACAATCACAGTATTATGTGGAAATGTGTGATCGCCTTTCCTCAGAAGTTTAGGGTTATGCTGAGAGTACATTTACATTTATAAACATGAATTTATTTAACATTTTGAATTTTTTATTTAAGCTGTGATCTAAATCTTTTTCTACCTTTAGTTGATCCTTATTCTAGTACTTGTGGAAATGGTGAACAAGTCTGTACATGCATATTCTTCGGATCATGGTTCACCTCTTTTCTAATTACAGCTAGTCATGTCAGCCTCTTGTACATTTTAGTTAACCATCCCAATCTGCATTAGCCTGTTTTTTCCCCATTTACAGTGAAGATTTATGTAAATTACTACTTAAATCTCTTGTCAAGAAGTTGGTTTAATTTTATTTTCTCCAGAACATAATAGTTTGAAATAGCTTTAATACATATTTTTAAAATTCACTGACTATATTAATTAGGTTTCACTTTTATAATTAAATTAGAGATTTATTTGGGTATTTTCTAAATTAATTACTTAGGTTTATCAGAATATGTAACTATTATATTTAATAAAGATATTTGAAGCAGATACTGTATATGTGAAGTTTTCAGGGGGAAACTATTACTTATTGAATAGATTAACCCTGTGAGTTCTTAATTATTTTAAGACATACAGCATCATTTAAAAACTAAAGTTAGTTTGTTAACTAAACAACTTATATATATTGTCGATGATTATTGAAGAACCAAAGAGTTTTTATGCCAGATCTATCAATATTTACTAAATTAGAAATTGAACTTGAAACTTTAAAATTTGTCAGTTAATTCATTTAAAAACCACAGCTATCTATAGCATATTAATACAAATAACATTTTTATGAGAAATAACTTTTCCAAAACAAAATTTAGCAAGTAAAGTGACATTGTTTATATTGTGCACATATTAATGTCTGAGTAAGTAGCAAAAGCTGAATTCTCATATCTGCTTCTACCTTTGAACTGTTGCAGGACACATGTCATGTAGTCTGGAAAACAAATATACATTCATGAGAGCATGAGAATGGAAAAAGGTATATTTATTATGAAAATAGTTGTTTTTTCCTGCAGACTCCCTGCCAGGATCTCAGGGATTCCCCAGGGGCTCCCCAACTATACTTTGAGAACTCCTGTTCTAGATAATAAATTACTTCATCTGTAGAAATTAAAGGCTCAATAAAAAGAACTCTAGAAATAAAGATTCTGTTTAAAAATAGTATCTAAAAGATTAATTCTTTTGTGTCATCACATCCAATCTGTGTTCATATTTCCCTAGTGTCTCGTAATTTTTTTTACATTTGTTGATAACAATAATCCAACAAGGTACACATTATATTTGGTTAATATATCCTTTAAATTTTAACCTACTGGTTCCTCTTCCTCTTTCTTCTTTGCAATATTAGTTGAAGAAACTGGTTCATTTATGTCTTTGTAATTTCCCTCATTCTGATTTTGGCTGAGTGCATCTCTGGTATAATTTAACATGTTTCTCAATTTTCTGTATTTCTTGTAAATCTGTAGTTAGATCTTTATAGGCTTGATTAGATTTAGTTTCATTCGTTTTTTTGGCAAACTTCTTAGGTGGTGATGTGTATTTTCTTTCACATTCCATCAGGCGGATGTCTTTTGTGATGTTAAAAAATCACCTTTTCTCTAATGATTTTAGCATCTATTGCTAATTGTTGCCTCAATAATTAAATATTGTAAAAGGTGATATTCTAATTCTCAAGCTTTCTGAATTTATTAGTTGGGATTCTTCAGTCAAGAAGACCTTTTCCGCCCTGGCCAGTTTGGCTCAGTGGTTGGAGCATCAGCCTGCGGACCAGAGAGTCCTGGGTTCGGTTCCCCCTAGAGGCATGTACAATAAATAAATAAATAAATAAATAAATAAATAAATAAATAGAAGACCTTTTCCTCATTTACTACTTCATTAATCTGAAATAGCATTTGTTCAGTATGGGCAGAATAAAATGTTTGATATTTTTTTCTTTACCTACAAATTTCCAGAATAATTAATTGGTGCCTTAGCAACCTCCAAAGATGATTGGAGAGTTTGGTTGTTTTGTTTTCTGGTTTTCTTTAGTATTATGAACCTAAAGATTTTTGCCTTCCATTTGTGCCTTATTTTTTGACCAGTGGAAGCCCCTTCATGTTGGCTCCTTTGCCCTTGGTACAGCCTCAGTATTCTGATAGTTTCTTTGTTTCCTGAAACAAGATGTCTTAAGCTAATCTTGTACATTACATTTTCTTCTCCAGACCTAGAATCAGATTTGGTGACCCTAATTCAGTGAAAAGTGGTCTTTAGAGATTATAATCTGGGTGGCATTTATGTTTATTTTTACAGGTCTTTTGGTTGACAGAGCTAGAAAGACTATATTTTATAGAAAGAAAAATAATTAGCCCACCTGGTATGGCTAAGTGGTTGAGCATCGACCCATGTACCAAGAGGTCACCAATTCGATTCCTGGTCAGGGCACATGCCCAGGTTGTGGGCCAAATCCCCAGTTGGAAGTATGCAGGAGGTGGCCAGTCGATGTTCTCTTTCATATCGATGTTTTTATCTCTCCCTCTACCTTCCTCTCCCTAAAATCAATAAAGAAAAAATATTTTTTTTTAAAGAAAAATAATGAGATGAATTTTTTATGATATTTCCAATACAGATGTAAGATTACAGAGATTTTACTAGACTTTTCATTTTACACTTATTTTTTTCCCCATAACACTGAAAATACTGGTTCTAACATTATGGTTACTGAATCAAATTATTCTATTTTATTAGAGGGGTCACAGATTCAAATATGAAATGGGGCAGGCATTTAAATAAATAAATCAGGCCTTTTGTAAGTCTCAACAGGGAATGGTGGGGTATGTGTCCCATCTCATGGAAACACATGTGACTTTGCTCTACTTGATTTTTACCAAAGATAAACATCCAGATATATTATGTAAAATTATTTAACTTTTAGATATTGACAACTAATTTAACTGTTTTGGGTCCCATCTGGGCCAAACAATTTCTGCCATAGGCTCTTTGTAACTTTTTGGGCCAAACAGATTTTTGCCATATGCTGTTTGCGACTTCTTGTGAAAAAGATCTAAAGAATTGGTGGTTAAGCTAATATTTCAGATTCTTCCAGGCTTAAGGTAACCTGAAAAATACAATGGAAAAGACAAGGAAGAGGAGGACTTATTCATTTTGGTTTTGCTAATCATGATGCATTTATTTATCCAACTTCTGTTTTGGAGCTCTTAAAAAAATTAAAATAGGTAGGCCTGTTGATCATTAACTTTGCTTTTTGTTTTGTTTTGTTTCAAATTTGTAATAGGAACTGACAACATCTCAGAAAAGTGGTGGGAATGTTCTTCAGATGATGTATGAGAAACCTGAACGATGGTCTTTTACCTTCCAGTCATATGCCTGCCTCAGTCGAATACGAACTCAGCTTGCCTCTCTCAATGGCAAGCTCAAAGATGCGGAGAAACCTGTATTATTTTTTGAACGATCTGTGTATAGTGACAGGTATACCTAAATGACTTGTACTTATTAGTCTGGAACCTTGGCTTAGAACTGTATTTTTTTTTTCTATTTCCTGGTAATCAAAGTAATAAGAGGTTGAGTTGGGTATTTCAGATAGAAAATGACATTTAATACATTTAGCAGTTTGGTACTAATGACATTAAGGAAGTTCTGGCATTTATAATTTCTAGATTCCATGGAGAATGTAAGGAATATGGTGGCCATCTCATTCAAATTTTCAGAGAAATTTCTTTTTTAAAATTCTCATCTGCTCTGGTTATATCTGAATCTATATAATAGACTCACCTGGAGCAAGGAGATAAAAAATCTCTAAGGAGACCTTGTAATTACCCTGCTTATGGAAGGATTCTTTTAACGTCGAGAGTTAGCTTAGAACAAAGGTTCTCAAACTGTTGTTCTCAGGACTCCTTTCCATTCTTAATCATTATTGAGGAGTCCAAAGAACTTTGTGTCTTACTCATTTTTGTTAATAGAAATGAAGATTGGGAAATGGGAAAAAATTATTTAAAATTAGCAATTATAAACCCATTACATATATAAACATAAATAATATACTAGTGAAAATTACATTTTCTAAAACAAAAAAGTTATTGAGAAGAGCAGCATTTTATGTTTCTATGAATCTCTTGAATGCCTGAATTAATAGAAGACAGCTGGGCTCACATTTATGCCTTTATATTCACTCTGTTGATCATATTGTTTTGGTTGAAGTATTGTATATAAAGTAATCTGGCCTCTCCCAGAACCCCTGGAAGGGTCTTGGGTCAGTAGACACCACATTTTTGAGAATCACTGGCCAAGTACATAATTTTCTGTAGTTGGAGATGCTCTATTGTTTTTTTCTGCTGTCCAAGGCTTGATCTGCCACAGGTTGTAGGAGAATGTTCTGTGTCCATTTAGTAGATCCATTTTCTCTATTCTGTTTCTCTGTGCTTTTTGGAAAGGATTTATATGTTAATATAGACTTTCTTTTAGGTATATTTTTGCATCTAATCTGTATGAATCTGATTGTATGAATGAAACAGAGTGGACAATTTATCAAGACTGGCATGACTGGATGAATAACCAGTTTGGCCAAAGCCTTGAACTAGATGGAATCATTTATCTTCGAGCCAGTCCAGAGGTGAGACTTAATATTTTGTTCCTTTGAAAAGTTAAAGGAATATTTAGACATTTTTCAGTGTTATACAGTGAAGGCAGTTTAGTTGAACTTCACTCCCTATTTCTTAGCTTCCTTCCTCCAAATTAGAAACTCAAAACTGGGTAGATAGAAGCATTCTGTTTTCTCAGCAAACTAGAAGCCCAGATTTGGCAAATTGCTCTTTTAAGTCCTGTTCTGTTCTTCAGTTCTGTTCTTCATTATTTCTTAACTTTTACAGTCTCTTTTTTTTTTTAATTTTTATTTTTTTATCCTCACCGAGGACATTTTTCCATTTTTTATTCAGATAGAGCAGGAGGGAGAGAGAGGAAGAGAGAGAGAGAGAAACATCGACGTGAAAGGGACACATCGACTGGCTGCCACCCACACGACCCAACCAGGGCTGGGGACAAACTGCAACCGAAGTACATGCCCTTAGTGGGAACCGAACCCGGGTCTCTCTGGACCGCAGGCCGACACTCTAACCGCTGAGCCAAACCGGCTAGGGCAACTTTTGCAGTCTCTTATCACAGCTAGATTAAGAAACTTGCTCAAGCAACTTCTAGAGTATAGCCTTTATGAGGTGGGGACTTTGGGCATTTTAATTACTATTGAATTTCCAGTGCCTAGAATAAAGCTTGGGTACATAGTAGGAGCTCAGTACATATTTGCTGAATGAATGGCAAAGTTATGCATGGTTTTGATTTGGAATGGATCGGTAGTAACAGCTGCGGTTGAAAAGGAATTTAGTGGATCATTGCCTTTTCAGTTAAGGGAGCTTACTTGAAAATGTGCCTTTCATGATAGGTTGTAACATAGCTCTTGTTTACATATGAAATTATGTAATGAATCCAGGAAGACCAAGTGGATGCCTTTCATAAAACTAACCTAAATGAGAGCTTACATTTATTAAATTTCTGATTTTGTTGCTCACATTCCCATTTTTCTGTTTTTTCTTTTTTCTTTCCTGAGTCACAGTAGCTCTGATGGATGTAAATGTTACAACTTCTAGCCTGAGAGAAGACTGTGTTATATTGAAGTTGCATTCTCAAAGAAATTAGGTTTCTGATTCCAACTGATGATTTTGTTCTAATACCAAGCAAACCAGAATTTAACAATTATAATTTTGGAATTTACTTTTATTTTTTAAAATAATTTTTGTTTTTAATTACGAAAATAGTAAATGCAAATAGAGATGAAAGAACATAAAGAATTCTAATAATTTTGTTGTTAGAAACATTTATAGTCAATATCTTAAAGTCTAATACAATACTATTTTATTTCATTAATATTGTTTATGATATCTTTGATTAGAGGATCATTTAATTATTTGAAAAGAGAATTTATAGTAGAAATTGAAGCATAGTTTTATGCTGTACTTTTTTTTTTACCAAACTTATTTTAGACAGTATATTTCAAATATGGATGCCAAAAGTTTATTGACTTATTTTTCAAAGTACTACTTGATTTAGAGCCACTAAATGGTTGAAAAGTACAGAGAGGGGAAAAGGAGCTTTTTTTTTTTCTAGAAGGAATAGAGATTTTGGCTAGCAACACTAAATAGACACTAGAGAAGAAAATTTTAATGGCATCAGGCAAGAATAATTGCCCCCCCCCCCCTTTCTTACTGCTTTCAGAAATGCCTGAGTAGAATATATTTACGGGGAAGAAATGAAGAACAAGGCATTCCTCTTGAATACTTAGAGAAGCTTCACTACAAACATGAAAGCTGGCTCCTGCATAGAACACTGAAGTAAGACTTTCTTATTCTTGTTTATTACTCATTTTTAATACCTTATCAAATTTTAATTTAAAAATGTATATGTACAATTTTTTAGTTTTAGACATTTATTAGTATTATCTTTCTCAGAATTAGGATTTTTAAAAAAATATTTTTTCTTTATTGATTTTAGAGAGAGAGGAAGGGAGGGAGGGAGAGAGAGAGATAGAAACATCAAAGAGAGAGAACATCGATTGGTCACCTTCTGCATGCCCCCACTGGGGATTTGGTCCACAACCTGGGCATGTGCCCTGACCAGGAATCGAACTGGCCACCTCTTGGTGCATGGGCTGATGCTCAACCACTGAGCCACGCCAGTTGGACAGAATTAGGATTTTGATTCTCTTTATTTCAGTGAGATCCATTTCCTTCAAGTTTTGTGTTTTTTTTTTAATTTTTTTTCTTTATTGATTTTAGAGAGAGAGAGGAAGTGAGAAGGAGAGATAGAAACATCGATGAGAGAGAATATCGATTGGCCGCCTCTTGCATGTCCCCCCTGGGGGTCGGGCCCACAGCCTGGGCATATGTCCTGACTGGGAATCGAATCGAACCAGTGACCTCTTAGTGCACGGGTCAACACACAACCACTGAGCCACACTGGCCGGACCATTTTCTTAAAGTTTTTATAGTTAATCTCCCCCAGTGGTATTGACAGTATAATATATGGAATTTTACATTAAGTGATAAAGTAGGAAATATATCTGTGTACACTTTTTAGGTACTCTCTTTCAGAAAGTATTTTAAGATAAGGTATTTCGAATTTGTTTCTTTGATCAAGACTTGGGAGGTAGTATAGCATAGTTGTTAAAAGTATGGACTTTGTCACTAGTCAGTTTTTGATTCAATCCAGTCTCACTTATTAGTCTGTGATCTTGGACAATCTCTGAGTTTTAGAGTGACCTCCTTGAACTTTAGTTTTCTCATCTTTAAAATGTAAATATTTCTTCTACTGTACTATGTTTTTGTTTTTTGAGGAGTATTACATGTCACAGTGCCTAGCTTTATATATTTTATACCTGAGATTTTTAGATATGTGTAAGTTAATCTAGATGAGAAAGAAGGGGCTGCCAAATGAAGTATTTGCAGAATAATTTTAATATAAAATGATTGACATTTTGATTTTTTTGTGATACAATAATGAGTTTTAGTTTTTTCTCTTATTGATTGCTTTCTCTAATTATTTTGTTTATCCTTCTTTAAATAGAACCAACTTTGATTATCTACAAGAAGTACCTATTTTAACATTGGATGTTAATGAAGACTTTAAAGACAAACACGACAGCCTAGTTGAAAAGGTAGATTTGGATAAACTAACGTTTGCTTTGTCTTGTCTTTTAAGTGTTCTAGCCCTGGCCGGTTTGGCTCAGTGGTTAGAGTGTTGGTCTTTAGACCAGAGTCGCAGGTTTGATTCCGGTCAAGGGCAGATACTTCTGTTTCAGTGTGGTCCCTGGCCCTGGTCGGGGTTGTGTGGGAGGCAGCCATTCAATATGTCTCTTTCACATTGATGTTTCTCTCTCTCCCTCCCACTCTATCTGAAGATAAATGGAAAAGTATCCTTGGGTGAAGATTTAAAAAATAAAAAAGTATGAGAAACGATGACATAAAGTTACATTAAGGGACAGTTAAAAGCTTTAAAGAGATTTAGACTATTTAGATTCTAATCCTAACTTGAAATTCTAGCTTTGTGGCCTTGCTAAAATAAGGAGCTTAATCCTTTAGTTCCCTTATTTGTGATATGATCACAAAAGTTTTTGATCAGCCACTTCCCTGCTTTTTCCCTTTCTTTCTTTCTTCCCTATACCACCAATCTTTAGATATTTTAATAATAAACTACTTGTTTATTTTTTTCAACCAAATTCATTAAGGAGGATATTTGAAGTTGCAAGATGTGGATCTTACCCATTTTTATATTGGCTGAAGTCTTGAGATTAAAGGAGTTTTAGTTTTGAAATTCATTTGGTACCTTATTAAGGATGAATTATCATTGTCTAATCATTGAGTCATTATCTTAATCAGAGTTAATCTATCCTCCAGATGTTTGGGATATTCTATTAAGTGAGTGGTGCCTGTATTGATAAAGGGACTGGAAGAGAACCTATTGGTGAACACTTGAGAGAGAATAGTCATGGGAATTAATATAACAAATATCCCTATATTCACATTGATTAACTTAGTGATCTAACATCTAAAGAAGCCACACATTGTTTATTTGTTTAGTTTTGAGACGAATTAAGTTCTTCTTTTATCCTGTCACAAAATGTCTGCGATTTTTTTTTTTCTTTTTTTTTGATCCTCACCCGAGGACATTTTTCCATCTTTTGTTCAGATAGAGTGGGAGGGAGAGAGAGGAAAAGAGGGAGGGAGAGAAACATCGATGTGAAAGGGACACATTGAGTGATTGCCACCCGAACGACCAACCAGGGCTGGGGACAAACTGTAACCGAGGTACGTGCCCTTAGCGGGAACCAAACCCGGGTCTCTCTGGACCGCAAGCTGACACTCTAACCGCTGAGCAAAACCGCCAGGGCTGCGATTTCTTATACTAGGTACTTGCCATTCATAATGGATATATCTCAAGAATTTTAAACATCTCAACATTTATATATAACTATTATCACATATAGTTGTTTTTCCCATCATATAAACTAAAGCATATCTGGACAATTTAAATGACCTCTTCCTTGTTATAAATGAGGACAGAATTAACTTAAATTATATTATTAAAATAAATTAAGTCAGAGCAAGAGGCGAAGATGGCGGCGTAGGTAAATGCGGTATCGCGTCCTCCCACAACCACATCAAAGTTACAACTTAACTACAGAACACCATCATTCAAAACCGCCTGGAATCAAGCTGAATGGAAGGCCTACAACTATGATGCAGCAGCCACATCGAGACTGGTAGGAGGGGCGGAGGCATGACAGGCTGGTCCCACACCCACATGTGGTGGATAAAAATCAGGAGGATACCTAGGCTGGGAAGATCCTCCCTGAGGACTGAGGGGTGCCTGTCCCACACCAGGTGCCCCACTCAGGGTTCCAGTGCCAGGAAGAGAAGTCCCCATAACTTCTGGCTGGAAAAACCAACAGGAACTGAGGCTCAGGGAAGCTGATGCGGCTGGAGCCCCAGGCAGCTCCTTAAAGGGCCTGGCGCACGGACTTATCGGACTCACTCCCTCTAAGCTTGGAGGGGAGGCAGCTCGAGGGGCACCAGAGACATACAGGGAAGAACTGAGCTGTTTGGCACTGGAGCGAGGGCTGGAGAGGGGACTTTCTCCTGGACAAACGTGCTGTCAGAGGCCTTTGTTCCTTTGGTGAGCCCTTCCCTGGGGCAGCAGACAGCCGCCATATCTGGGACTCCAGCAACCTGGCTTACACTGGTTGCCCCGCCCTGGAGATTCCCTGAGGCCCCGCCCCACCCAACTTTCAGGCCCACCCAAGCTGTTGCCAGTTGCTTAACCATAGGATTGGCCTGTCTTGAATCCTTCTTCAGGTTTTTCCTAAATTCTTTCAAACAAGCAGCATATGGTCTCAGCTAGCCCCATAACTCTCATTAAGTAATACACAGAAACAAACACAGGGAGGCAGCCAAAATGAGGAGACAAAGAAACAGGTCCCAAATGAAAGAACAGAACAGAACCCCAATAAAAGAACTAAGCAAAGTGGAGATAAGCAACCTAACAGATGCTGAGTTCAAAATACTGCTTATAAGGATGCTCAATGAATTTAGTGAGAACCTCAGTGCACTTAGTGAGGGCCTCAAGAGTATAAAAAAGGACCAGTTAGAAATGATGGATGCACAGTCAGAAATGAAGGAGGCATTATCTGAGATAAAGAATAATTTACACAGATTCAGTAGTAGAGTAGGTAAAGCCAAGAAGCAAACCATCGATTTCGAATATAAGGAAGCAAAAAACGCCCAATCAGAACAGCAAAATGAAAAAAGAATCCAAAAAATGAGGATAGTGTAAGGAGCCTCTGGGACAACTTCAAGAGTGCCAACATTCGCATCTTGGGGGTGCCGGAAGGAGAAGAGCGAGAACAAGAAATCGAAAACCTGTTTGAAACAATAATGGCAGAAAAATTTCCTAACTTGGTGAAGGAAACAGACATACAAGTCCAGGAAGCACAGAGAGTCCCAAACAAGATGAACCCCAAGAGGCCCACACCAAGACACATCATCATCAAAATGCAAAAGGTTCAAGACAAAGAGAGAATCTTAAAAGCAGCAAAAGAAAGGCAGCTAGTTACCTACAAGGGAGTTCCCATAAGGCTGTCAGCTGATTTCTCAAAAGAAACTTTGCAGGCCAGAAGGGAGTGGCAAGAAATATTCAGAGTGATGAAAAGCAAGAACCTACAACCAAGATTACTTTATCCTGCAAAGCTGTCATTTAGAATTGATGGCCATATAAAGAGTTTCCCAGACAAGAAAAAGTTAAAGGAGTTCATCACCACCAAACCGTTATTATATGAAATGTTGAAGGGTCTTTTTGAAGAAAAAGCTAAAATATATGAACAAACAAAATGGCAATGAATACATATCTATCAACAATGGAATCTATAAACAAAATGAACAGGCAGAACAGAAACATTCTCATAGATACAGAGAACATTTTGTTGGTTGCCAGATGGGAGGGGGCTTGGGAGAACGGGTGAAAAAGGTGAAGGGATTAAGAAGTACAAATTCATTGCTAGACTGACAAACCTCAAAGGGAAAGGGGTTGGGGGGTGGGAAGAAGTAAACCAAAGAACTTAGATGCATAACCAATGGACACAGACAATAGTATGGGAAAAGGCGGGAGAGGGTTGGGAGTGGGGAAGATGGGGTCAGTGGGGGAAAAATGAGGAACATCTGTAATACATTTTACATTCAACAATAAAGATTAAAAACAATAAACAAAATAAATTAAGTGAGCCATTGCAGTACTAACAGCTAATCATCATTTTATTTATTTATTTATTTTCATCCTTACCCAAGGACATTTTTACATTTTTTGTTCAGATAGAGTGGGAGGGAGAGGAAGCGAGAGAGAGAGAGAAACATCGACGTGAAAGGGACACATTGAGTGGCTGCCACCCGCATGGCCCAACCAGGGCTGGGTACCAACTGCAACCGAGATACGTGCCCTTAGCGGGAACTGAACCCAGGTTTCTCTGGACCGCAGGCCGACGCTCTAACCTCTGAGCCAAACCGGCCAGGGCGCCAACCATCATTTTAACTGAATGAATCTCTAAACCCACTTTTTAAAATTTTATCTTAACATTTCTATGTTTTGACTAAGAATCGTTATTTTGTAAGATTTATATTTTCATTAATAATGTTAGCAGCTGGCTTTGTTTTTCAGGTATTTTTACATGGCAGTAATCGTTGTCTGTTCAGGAGAATTACTATGTAGTCTAGAATATGAAGAGAACAGAATCTTTTCTGTTTGTTTTTTAATTTTTTTTTTTTTTGTTACAGATGTTTCTCCTTTTTTACCCTATTGGCACCCCTCTCCCCATCCCCCCCCGCCTCGTCCCCAGCTTTGTTGTCCATGTCCATTGGTGATGCATACATGCATATAAGTTCTGTGGTTTATCTCTTCCCACCCCCTCTTCTGAAAGATGTCAGTCTGTGCCCTACTTCCATGTTTCTGGGTCTACCGTATTCCTCAGACTGTTATGAGAACAGAATCTTTTTGCTGTGATGTTGGCTAGTTGACTAGATTCAGTCACTGCTTATATGACCTTTCCTCATACGTTATCATTACATAGTATATGCAAAATTCAAATTTGTGCTTCAGAGAAATTTCAGAAAATTAACCGGGGGGAGGGGAGGCGTTGCTAAAAAATGAAGAAAGAAAAGGTACAGTTGTTTAAACCGTTGCAGTTATTAATGTCATCGGTGTCAAAGATGCACATATCAGTGGTCTATGGTATTTTAAAGAGATAAAATTATGATTATAAAATTAGAGAATATGGCTATTATAGAACTGTATCAATCTTAGACTGAATTTAAAAACTCCTGTAATTACATTTTAGGTCATTCAGCTTTTACTACTAAAGTATTTATTAATACATTCTCTTTTGTTTGTTTAATCCTCACCCGAGGATATTTTTCCATTGATTTTTAGATAGAGTGGGATGGGAGAAGGGAGAGAGAGAAGGGGGAACATCAATATGAGAGAGACACATCGATTGCTTGCCTTCCACATGACCCTGACTGGGGCCCAGGATCAGACTTACAATACAGGTATGTCATGCCCTTGACTAGGAATCAAACTCACAACACTTCCGTCTGAGAGCCGATGCTCTAACCACCAAGCAACTGGCCAGGACTTAATACATCTTTTTAAGTAAATGCTGTGGCTTTGTGATAAAGTTACTTATATAGTTGAGGTCTTCAATTGTTATATACTTTTAAATGAAGATGAATATTACATATCTCAAATTAGTCAAATAATTAATATATTTTTTCTCTCCTCAGGTCAAGGAATTTTTGAGCACTTTGTGATCATGCTGAAGACTACAGGCAGTGAAATGATTACAGATACTTCAGCTTTGTGTATCTTCGTAGCTTCATATTCATAGAAGTCACTTTAGAAAACCCAAGTTTTTAACCATTTTTATACCAAGAAAAACATTTTTTTTAATGAATCCTATATGAAAGTTTATGACCAGTTTTATTTGTTTCTTTTGTTAAAAAGAACAAAGACTTTTAATTATCTCTCATGGCAAGAAGTCTGGAGGTAGATAGTTTCAGAATCACTATAGTGGCTGAAGTGTATCAGGAAAAACCCACCCTTCTTCAGTCTTTCCCCTCTGTTAACCTCCTCCGCAGGTTGACTTTTTTTTCTGGTGCTTCTCCTCTCACTGTTGACCAGTTTCTTAACTGGATTTCTTAACTGGAAACTTTAATGTTACATAGAAAATGATAATGTGTCCTGTGTATATTAGTGCAAAAAGTTGAAAGTAGCATTTAAGGAATCTGTAGAAAAAGAATTGTTTTATTTTAAGTACTTTTGATCCAGTGCTTCCCCTTCCACTTCAATTTATGTGAAAGATATAAGATCAGGTTTAGTATTTAATCAATTCATTGATATTTATTAGTACATCTATAATGCATTTATTGAGGAACAAGTTAGACTTTGTTCCCAGTTTATAATGACATACATCTGTGCTATGGGTGAGACTTCATTGTTTGCATGGGATTTTGGATGATTAAAGAGGAAATGTTTCTTTTTCTTATTTTATTCTTTATTGATTTTAGAGAGAGAGGAAGGGAGAGAGAGATAGAGATAGAAACATAGATGCAAGAGAGAACATTGATTGGCTGCCCTCTGCATGCCCCCCACTGGGGATCTGGCGCACAACTTGGGCAAGTGCCCTGACCAGGAATTGAACTGGCGACTTCTTGGTGTATGGATCAATGCTCAACCACTGAGCCACACCAGATGGGTGAGGAAATGTTCTTTAAAAATAACTGAAGGCCCACCCAGAGTGTTGGTTGAGTGTTGTCCTGTGCACCGAAGGTTTGCCAGTTCAATTCCAGGTCGGCACATGCCTGGGTTTTGAGTTCAGTCCTCAGTCGGGGCACATGCAGGGGGTAAATGATCAGTGTTTCTTTCTCTCTCTCTCTTTCTCCCTCTCTCTCAGCATGTCCTTGGGTGAGGATTAAAATAAATAAAAACTGAAGATTATTACATGAGTAGATAATTTAATTTATATGGAGCTTAAAATAGCTGCGTGCTTTCTTTTCAGACCATTCTTTTACAATGGAATGTTCCTATTATAGTTAAAAGATTGGTTTAAACTATGATTGTCTTTAAATCATTTGAGGTAGAAGTATAGTTTTCCTACATTTCTTCTCTCCTTTTAAAAATATCTTTGTTATTGGTTTTAGAGAGAGGAAGTGAGAGAGAGAAACATTGATCAGCTGCCTCCTGTATGCCCCCTTGTGGGGATCGAGCCAGCAGCCTGGGCATGTGCCCTGACTGAGAATTGAACAGGTGACCTTTTGGTGCATGGGATTACGCTCAATCAGTTGAACCACACTGGCCAGGGCTCTTCTCATTTGTATAGGTAAAATGTTAATGGAACACAGTGAGAGACATTTTTCCATCTTATTCTTTATTGACTCTGCATTAGGAACAAGTAGTCTTCTATTACCTTTGTATACTTTGTAAGAAGTGAAAAGAGAAACTGATGACAAGGTAGATTATTTTAGTGGTTTAGTCCCACCTGTTATTTCCTGCCTCATCCTGGTTTTGCTACTGTCTGAATTAATTAGTTAGTCTGCTATTTTTTTTTAAAAATTCTCACCAGAGGATATTTTTTCATTGATTTTTAGATGGAGGGAAGGGGGTGGAGACAGAGAGAGAGGAATATCGATGTGAGACATCGACTGGTTGCCTCCTGAACAGCCCTGCCCTGGGGGCTGGGGATCGAATCTGCATCCTAGGTATCTGCCCTTGACTGGGAATCAAACCCGAGACTCTTTGGTCCTAGAGCTGACATGCTAACTGCTGAGCAAAACTGGCCAGGGCAACAGCCTGCTGTTTTAAAGTTACACATTTCTTCTATGAGAACATTGTGATTATTCTTCGCTTCATAGTTGGCTTTGCTTCTCTGTAGGGTTATACCTAATTTTTTTCCCCTCCTTTAAGAGAAATTACTGATTAAAAAATGATCTTGCTTTATGTTATATATCTTGGAAGCATCATATTTTTGGAATATGTATTAATAAAAAAAGTAAAATAATTGTAATTTAAAAAATCTGCTTGGATTCATTTTTGTTCTGTATATAATTAAATATTTTTTTCAAGTTTGTTTAAGGTGTGAAGTTTTTTTTCTATGTATTTACCCTTTCTACTTGACATTTTAGAAAAATGCTGTCTTTGAAGTGAGGGGAGGAGTCACTTTACTTGGAAACTATCATTTATTTTCCTTTTCAAAATGTCATCTTTTGTTTTGTTTCTTGAGATAATTTAGTGAATTAAACAGTCTAGATATACTGATCTTGGAAAGGGAAACTGCATTTCAAATCTGTAATCACCATGAGTATTTAAACTGTCTCATGGTATTGTTTGTATTTGATGTATATCAATTTATTTACTAAATTATTTGCTTAATAAATAAGTATATATCTCATGACCTGTAATGGAGCTACACACATTGAAATGGTTATCTTTTTAGAATTCAAATTTTATTCTACTTTGAAGAAAAAAAGTGACTATAAAAAGATCACAATGGTTTATATAAATTACATTGATTCTATTTTAAGCAAAGACATTTTAGAGATTTTCAGTAATCTTTTAAAAATATTTAATGACTTTTTAAATCTGTAGAATTGAAAAGAAGCTTAAATAAATTTATTATTTGTCATGACTCAAAAGCTGGGACATTGTGTAGGCACAAGAGTATTGAGCTTAGTGGCCTGCATTATCTCTTGGATTCTATTTCTCATATCAGATCATTTTCCATCAGAGTATATGTACTACTTTTTATAATTTGCTCTTTTAAGAAGTTAATTGTATAAGACTTACTTCCTCATTCAGAATTTCTCATCTTCTGTGCCTGAAATTGATAGCACTGTATTACAGAGCCCCTAGAAATTAGATCTGTCATATTTTTTAGGACAAGGAATACCAAAGTGTTTTTTGTTTGTTTTTTACAGAGATATAAATCTTATTACCATCAGAAAAATGCTAGATTAGTTGCTTAAGGTATTTACAAATCCTGATAAATAATAGCTTTCCACATTGGACAAATCTTATCATTCCTTTTAAAAACGAGCCCGGCTGGTGTGGCTCAGTGGTTGATCACTGACTCATGCACCAAGATGTCACTGGTTTGATTCCCAGTCAGGGCACATGCCCAATCCCCAGTGGGGGGCATGCAGGAGGCGGCTGATCAATATTATCTCTCATCAATGTTTCTATCTCCTTTCCTCTCTCTAAAATCAATAAGGGAAATAAATAAAAATGTTTTAAATTTTGAAACAGTTTCTGACTCACAAAATGTTGCAAAATTATTAGATTTTTCCCCCCAATGATAGCATTTTACTTAACCATAGTATACTAAGACTAAGACATTGACTTTGGTGCATTATTAACTAAACTACAGGCCTTATTTGGGTTTTACCAGTCTTATCTCTCTTTTTAAAACTTTTAATAGACTTTATTTAGAATTATTTACAATATATTTTATGTTCCATCTATATTGTTTATTGCAGTGTTAGGTCCATAGCAAATTTAAGTGGAAAGTACATTTCTATATAGTCTCTGCCCCTGCACTTGCACAGACTCTCCCACCATCAACATCCCCCACCAGAGTGGTACATTTGTTTTATTTTATTTTATTTTTTGAATTATGTTTAGTGGGAGGGAGAGCAAGGAAGAGAGAGAGAAACATCGACATGAAAGGGACACATCGGCCCTGGCCGGTTTGGCTCAGCGGTTAGAGCGTCGGCCTGCGGTCCTGAGAGACCCGGGTTCGGTTCCCACTAAGGGCGCGTACCTCGGTTGCAGTTTGTCCCCGGCCCTGGTCGGTCGTGCGGGTGGCAGCCACTCGATGTGTCCCTTTCACGTCGATGTTTCTCTCTCTCTCCGTTCCTCTCCCTCCTGCTCTACCTGAACAAAAAATGGAAAAATGTCCTCGGGTGAGGATAAAAAAAAAAAAAAAAAAGGGACACATCGAGTGACTGCCTCCCACACAACCCCAACCAGGGTTGGGGACAAACTGCAACCGAGGTACGTGCCCTTAGCGGGAACCAAACCCTGGACTCTGGTCCGCAGGCTGACGCTCTAACTGCTGAGCCAAACTTGCCAGGGCAGAGCGGTACATTTGTTATATTCAGTGAACCTACATTGATGCATTATAATTACTCAACAGCCACAATTTACATTAAGGATTGACTTTGTGTTATATCTTCTATGGGTTTTGACAAATGAATAATGACATCTATTCACCACACAAAATAGTTTCACTGCCTTAAAAATCCTCTGCTTTGTTCATCCCTCCACCCCAACCTCAGGCAAACACTAACCTTTTTATTGTCCCCATAGTTGCCTTTTCCTGAGTATCATATATTTGGAATCATTTAATAGGTTGACTTTTCAGATTGACTTTTGTTTTTCACTTAGGAATTTGCATTTTGTTTCCTCCCTGTCTTTTCATGGCTTTCCAGCTTATTTTTTTTAGTGCTGAATAATAGTCCATTATCTGAATGTACCCAGTTTATCCACTCAGCTACTGAAGGACAAGTTGGTTGCTTCCCCGTTTGGGCAATTATGAATCAAGCTACTGTGTACATCTGTGTGCAAGTTTTTGTGTGGACATGTTTTCAATTCATTTGGGTAAATACCAAGGAGTGCAATTGCTGGATCATATGTTAAGTGTATGTTTAGGTTTCTTGGAAACTGTCTCCCAAAATAGTTGTACCATTTTGCCTTCCAACCAGCAATAAATGAGTTCCTGTTCCTCCACATCCTTGCCAGCATTTGGTGGTGTCAGTGGTTTGGATTTTCTCCATTCTTAATAAGTATGTGGTTGTACTTCATTTTAATTTGCAATTCCCTAGTGGCATATAATAACCATCTTTTCATATGCTTATTTGCCATCTCTATGTCTTAGGTGAGGTGTCAAGGTTCATTATCATTTTTTAATTGAGTTTATTTATTATTGAGTTTTAAAAGTTATTTGAATATTTTAGATAATAGTCCTTTTGCAAATATTTTCTCCCAGTCTGTGGGCTGTCTTATTCTCTTGACATTGTTTATTGCAGAGCAGAAGTGTTTAATTTTAATGAAATCCAGCTTATCAATTTCTTTTATAGATTGTACTTTGTGTTGTATCTAAAAAGTCATACCCAAGGTCATCTAGGTTTTCTCCTAAGTTATCTTCTAGGAGTTTTATAATTATATGTTTTATGTGTAAGCCTATGATCCTTCTTGAGTTAATTTTTGTGAAGGATAGAAGGTTTGTTTCTAGATTCATTGTTTTGCATGTGGTTGTCTAGTTGTTCCAGCACCATTTATTGAAAAGACTATCTTTGTTTCATTGTATCGCCTTTGCTCCTTTTTTGAACATCAATTGACTATGTGGGTCTATTTCTAGGCTCTATTCTGTTACACTGATCTCTTTGTCTATTCTTTTGTCAATACCATGCTGTCTCGATTACTTCACCTTTACATATATTGTCTTAAAGTTGGGTAATTTTGTGTTTCCTAGAGGCATGAGCTACCTAGGTTTAATAATACAATGGGAGCTTTTTGAGGCTATCCTAATAAGATGTTGTTTTTTAAAAAAGAATTTATGTGTAAAATGAA